AGCAATTTTCTTTTCAAAAAATGCAGGAAGAATCTTCTTTAAAGGTAAATATGAAAATGCACATGACTATATAATATTTATTGTTAATAAATTAATTTATCATTATATGTTTTGTTGGTAGTTTACAACAAATTTCTATGTAATTCAATTCGATGACGGGATTATTAGTCCCTAATAATTGGTTGCGGATATCTGAAGATCAAAAGCAACAAGTTTGCTTCTATCCAAAATACAATGTAAAAAAGAGGCTAAATAAAGCTATAAAGAATAAGGAAATACCGGATTTCAAAAATGTACAAGCTGGTTGGGCGATGTATGACGTTTTACGTATTTTGTCTTCAGCAGGAATACATACTCACACACACACACAAAATTATTTATTGAAACTTGTCTCCTTCTTTTTGTAGTTAAATAAAATTCATTCTTCTTTCTTCTCGACTATCTTCTATCGATCTAATGAATAAATTGATCAAAGTAACATAAACGAAGGTTTATATCAAGAACTAAAATGTAATAAATTATTAAGTTACTTTGATTTAATTCATTGGATATTGTCGAAAAGAAAGAAGAACGAATTTATTTATTAAAAACTTTTATTTTCTTTTAACATCAACCTGTCGACATATAATTTAATATTAATCGTGATTTTCTATCTATGTTTAGTATTTATAATTTGTGTTGTCAACAATTATATTCAGATACTTTTGAGCTAGGCCAAGAAAAGTTAAAGATGACTGAAAATATTTCTGACATAAATACTAAGGATGAAGATTATATGAAAAAAACACGGCATGATAGAGCTGCTGCAAAAAATTTAACTTCTGACGATGAATCTGTTGATATAGAAGTGGATTCTTGTTTATTGTCTCCTTTACCAGATCCGAAAGAATTTTCTGAATCTCAAAAATTGTTATTCGGAAAAACCTGCACTGATTTTGACAACCTATGAAAATCCGATCATTTCCGAAAAAGACAACATCGTTATAACTGAAAAAAAAAACCGAAGATAATTCGACAAGAAGTGATTGCTAAACCTAAGAAAAAAGAATTAGAAAATAAAAATCAAAAAGATTTTATCACTGAAGATAATGAAGATTTTAACACCGAAAATCATTCCATCAATAAATGTAACAAAGAGTTAACAACACATCTAAATGAAATTAATGGAAATAAATCTCAAAAAGGTTAAATTACATTAATAGATTTTTTTAATGCAATATTTTAAAATGTAACTTAATTTTAATATTAATGATATTTTAATTTTTAGTGTTCATGGAAATTTTGAGAAAAGTAAATCGCGTCTTAGTTGAAATGACATACATCGATAGAAGGCTAAGTAGATTAGAAAATAAAATAGACTATATTACAAATAAAGAAATTAATGTAAATAACGTCGAAGAAGCTTTCGTTTTCGACACTATTTCTTCAGTGGATGAGCTGAAATTGTTTGAAGACAATTTGAAAAATGAAGAATTTTTTACGAAAATGGTAAATATTTATTTCTATATATAATAATGATA